TTAAAAACTACACTACCAGAGCTCCCAACCATATATATGTTAGAAGTGTTCCTATGCTCCACATATCACTTGGCTTTTGGAAAATTTTGCAGCAAAGGATTAAAAACTTCCTTGGACAAGTCGGCCGGCCATTAAATAATTTGTTTGCAACAAAACACAAAACAACACATATACAGACAATTGTCATCCTTATGTAGCAATTCACAGATACCAGTGGACACTGAATCTGTTCCATTTCATAGCAACTCCACGAGTATCAGACTAAAACTGCACTCCATAGAGTTTCTCAATGGCTGATGAACAGAAGCAGATTGCCTTAATTATTTGCACCACCTAGGGACTCCCAGTTCCCACAGAGTGCCTTTGAATAATTAAGTCAGAGCAAAGGTATCAAACAACTTGCATTTTCCTAACAGCTATAACTTTGGCTCCTGCCATACATCCTCAACCCCTGACATTATTCCTTCGCAGCTTTGGGTTTGGCATTTAACATGCTTCCATGGAATCAACTTGATGGCACCTAACAAGAATACAACCTGCATCATGCCCAGCTTTGTAGTGATAATTTTAAAGAGCAGCTTGTTTCCTCAGGAAGCTTTTGTGGTCAACTGAAAGATACGTTATTGTTCACAAACACCCACTTTCTGTGGTTCCCTCTAACTCCAGCAATGTTGCTTACCATCCTCTAGAATGTTTCTGTACTTCTCTATTTCAAGCTAATTCTAGGTGGGGACATTCAACACTTAAGCCACGCATGGCCAAAAGATGAAGATAGAAATCCCAGAGGCCTACCACCTGCAAGCCCCCAAGGCTGGGAGCTGGTGCAGTGTAGACTTTGCTGTGCCACTCAGACAGGAATGTGCTTTTTTCATAAGGACTCTTATTTTGATTGACCTGGTCTGGTACCTTATTAAGACGTTTTATTTCACGTTCATAATACTCCTTCTTCTTGCTTGCAAGAACATTTTTTTCCTTCAAAAGCTTATTCTCTTTCTTCAATTCATATAATTCTTCATTTAGGCTTTCCTTTTCCTTCTAAAGTAAAGAGCAAGAAAACAAAAGCAAATTCAACAAAATACAGATGAGATGACATGGCAGGAATCCTGATACATTATTTGCTGCTGGCAGATATTCTACTTCCTGTTGAGATGCAACAAAAACAATATGTGCTATATTTTCATTAGCTAGTCCATTAGAGTAATTAATATTCTCTAGGCAGAGGAGAGGAATTTAAGAAATCTTTATTTTACCCTTAGTACTATTTCTCATTCTTCAGACATATTGTCAGGTGGGAGATCATGTTTGGTAAGGTGGAGGGTCAGAAAAAAAGAGGAAGACCCCCAGAGAGATGGATTGGCAAAGTGGCTGCATTGATGGGCTCAAGCATGGCAACGGTAGTGAGGTTGGCCCAGGATTGGGCAGTGTTTCGTTCTGCTGTGCATAAGGTCGCTGTGAGTCGGTACTGACTCGATGGCACCTAACAACAACATTATTTCTTTGAGGCTTTGTGACACAGAAAACTATACCAACATCTCCAAATCCTCACTTTCTAGGATCAAATGGATATGCCAGTGCTATAAGGGTGATGAATAAGTGATTCAGTAAAAAGTAGTGTTATGGATTGAACTGGGTGTCCCCAAAATATGTGCCATAAATTCTAACTCTTATAACTGTGGTGCTGTAGGATTAGTACTGGACTGTGAACCACAAGGCTGTCAATTCACACCCACCAGTTGCTCCTCGGAAATCCTATACAGGGTGGCTATGAGTTAGAACAGACTCGATAGCACTTAACAACAACAACAACATAACTGTGGTTGATCCCTGGTGTGGAGCTGTAAGATAAGCACTAGACTGGTAACTGTAAGGTTAGTGGATCAAACCCACCATCTACTTTTGGAAACCCCATATATGGTTGCTATGAGTCAAACTGACTTCGTGACACACAATAACAACATACTTGTGGTTATAATTCTCTGTGGGAGTTGGGTTTCTTTGTTATGTTAATGAGGAAGTATTAGTGTAGGGTGTGTTTTAAGTCAATCTCTTTTCTTCTGTGATATAAAAGAACAGATTGAAGTGATCACAAAAGGATCGGAAGACACATGCCAAGATCACCAAGGAACTTAGGACTAGAAACAGAAAAGAGACAGAACCGTTCCCCAGAGCAAACAGAGAGAACCTTCCCCTTGAGCTAGTGACCTGAATTCAAACTGCTAACCTCCTAACTTACGAAAAAACAAATTTCTGTTCATTAAAGCCACCAACTTGTGACATTTATGTTACAGCAGCACTGGACAAGTAAGACAAGGAGTAAAAGTTTTTTTCTTATAAAAAGTGTTATTGCAATAGAAATTAATAAATTTCTCAAAGCCCAATTCTGCATTCTTCTGCACTGGAGGAAAGCATAGAATTTCAGGCAAAAAGATTGTTCAAGAAAAGGTAAAAAAGATGGCCTACTAGATAGTAGCATAGTGGTTACGAATCGGGCTGCGAGCCTCAAGGTCAGCAGTTCGAAACTACCAGCTGTTCCGTGGGAGAAGGATGAGGCTTTCTGCTTCCGTAAAGATTTCCAGCCTCGGAAACTCTGTACAGGGTTGCTATGAGTCGGAACTGACTCCACGGCACATAACAACAACAACAACAAATAGATAGTAAGCCAATACAGACCCTCTGCAACAAGGGTACAGAAAACCAAATAAAACAAATGCAGATGATAGTCCTGGAACCCTGAGCTTCAGGTGAAGGCATAGAGATGTGGATTGAATTTTTATTAGGAGAGAAATTTGAACAGACACAGAGACAGACTGCCCGCTGACCAGACACAATGGGGTCACCTTAAGCTTTTGTGAGCTGCTTCAGAGACAAGATAGTATAAGGGCATTGCAGAAACATACCAGTGAATCATGGAAATAAAGATGTGAATTTTTTTGTTCTCTAGGAGCTCTGGTAGCGTAGTGGTTACGAATCGGGCTGTGAACCTTTAAGGTCAGTGGTTCGAAACTACCAGCCGTTCCGCGGGAGAAAGATGAGGCTTTCTACTCCCGTAAGGATTTACACCCTCGGAAACCCTGTACAGGGTCGCTATGGGTCG